TTGCTGCACGTGGGCTTTCTCTAGTTGCTGCAAGCAGCGGCTTCTCTTGTTGCGGAGCACAGCCTCTAAGCACACGGGCTTCCGTAATTGCAGCACGCAGGCTCAGTAGTTGCGGCATGCGGGTCCCTAGAGTGCATGGGCTTCAGTAGTTGCGGCGGGTGGGCTCAGTAGTTGTGGCTCACGGGCTTAGTTACTCTGCGGCATGTGGGATCTTCCCAGACCAGGGCTCAAACCCGGGTCCCTTGCATTGGCAGGCAGATCCTTAACCACTGCACCACCAGAGAAGCCCCTACGAGAGTCGTTAAGAGAGTAAATCCTATGGGTTCTCATCACAAGAAAAAAAAATTCTTTTCTATTTATTAAATTTTCTATCTATATGAGCTGATCGATGTTCATTTCATGAACACTGCAAGTCAAATCATTATGCTATATGCCTTAACATATATAGTGCTGTATGCCAATTATATCTCAATAAAACTGGAAGAAAATAAATTATGTCCACAAAAAATTAATTACAAAGGGAAAAAGAGTAAGTTTATATTGGAGAAGACTGGCAGAAAAAGTGACCAAATCTAATCGTGTGCAAACTGGTAAGAAGCAATTAGAAGAACACAGCATCACTTTAGTGGCAATTTCTGCCAAAGAAGCATAACCTGAATTTAATCATGAGAAAACATCAGGCAAACCCAAACTGAAGGGACTTCCCTGGTGGCGCAGTGGTTGAGAATCCGCCTGCCAATGCAAGAGACACGGGTTCGAGCCCTGGTCCGGGAAGATCCCATATGCCGCGGAGCAACTAAGCCCATGTGCCACAAATACTGAGCCTGCGTTCTAGAGCACGCAAGCCACAACTACTGAGCCCATGCGCCACAACTACTGAAGCCCGCGTGCCTAGAGCCCATGCTCCGCAACAAGAGAAGCCACTGCACTGCAACGAAGAGTAGCCCCCACTTGCCACAACTTGAGAAAGCCCACACACAGCAACGAAGACCCAATGCAGCCAAAAATAATAATAATAATAATTAATTAATTTAAAGAAGAAAAAGAAGAGAGAAATATAAGAGGGCACTACATGAAGCAATGGTTAAGTATTGTTTCCTGAAACAACGCTTATGTATATAAGTATATGTATACTGACTATGACTAAAAATGTATTTTGTACTGTGAGTTGCCTTCAAAAAAAAATCTGAGAGCGCTGAGGTAGAAAATGAGGAAAACATTCTTGAGAATGACTTAATTATCTGCTACTAAACTGATAAATTCTGTAACTATGCCTATACATTTTCTTTTCCTTTTTCATGTTATCTTCACCCACAAACGCCTCAAACCTTCCCCACAGTTCTGGCCTCCTCCACTCAGCTCTGTGCTGCCAATCTGTGAAGGTGCTAATTGTGTATAGGCATTTTCAAGCATCGGTTGCTCAAGCAGTCTTAGCCGCGACCAGCACTGCTAGGCCTAGACCCCTCTCCCTACAAAAATCATTATGCATCCCTCAGGCAGTGGTTCTTCTCTGAGCAAATACTGTTAACTGCCAACTCAATGGAATCTTCCAGCCTAAAAAAGTATTTTTACGTCCATTCCCTTGCTATTTCCTCTCTCTTCTGCCAGGACTAATTACTACTCTCTTGGAGACTGAATTCATCTCTCATTTTTCATATTCTAAACTACTTTAAATAAAACTGACAATACTTAAAAAAAAATACACTCTTCCTTATAAGGAAAAAGTATGAAAAGAAAGGAGACTTCTAATTAAACAATGGAAAGAAAGAGGATGAAGGCTCACAGAAAGAAAAATAAGAGAATACAGAAAAAGAGTTTACAACAGAATTTAAAGAATCTTAATTAGTGACATTTAAAACCAGAAAAGATTTGCAACCCTTAGACAGTGCTTGTTTCCACTACCCCTAGGTGCAGGGCAACTGGTACAATTTCCTCTCCAACCAAAATGTGCAGTCAAAAGTAAGGCTGATGAGGCTTTTTGGCATCTCTGCCCACTGTCTGCATAGGTATCTTTGTGGTGAAAAACTGATTGATAAATCAACACTTCGTTCAGGCCTCTTTTTCTTAACATAACAACTTAACCTTAACTAAAGGAAAAAATTTTAAGTACAGTATTTTACAATTTACAAGACTATTTTTAACTTTTTTTTTTTGGAATGAAGCTGCATGCCATAATGAACAAAGCACTGATATCAACGCCAGGCAGACCTGGTCTCAAATCCCAGCCATGCCAGTGACTAGCTTGTGACTTTGGCCAAATCACTTCTCTCTGAGCCTCTGCTTCCTCTTTATATGTCTTTTGGGGGTAATTCTGAAAATTAAATGAAAAGTAGAGCCGCACTGTGCCTAGCACAAACAACAAATGTAACTTACATGTCTGCCCAGACCACATTCCTATCTACCAGTAACAGTAGCAGCCTGGCTGTGGTTACTGCAATACTTCTCAAGTGGGGATGGACTGGAGTGGAAGAGGGGATACGAAGAGGGACCAGCAGACCTTCTAAGAAGGAGACTGGGGAATCTTTTAGGAGGAGGGGACAACGTACACAGTGCACAACGTACACACATGTGAATTTGTGTTTTTAAACTCCTGGTGATTCTGAAATATTTGTCCAAATGGCTTATATCTCTATAAATTACTAAATTACAGAGTTGTCTGAGGAAACTCTTAAGTCTGGGCAATAACGAATGGTCTCCTGCAACACATATTTACTGAAGAGTCAGGTAATACTGTGTAACTACAACTTTTACTGTACGATGGCATATCTGGGTTTTCAAATATCTTAAACTGAACACATAGGGGTTTTTTTAATGAGATATTTATAATCACTTTTAAATAAACATAAATGGATTTTATATTATAGTTGCAACTTCATATTAGTTAATTATTAAGTATCCAAAGGCTTTCACAAAAAAATTACCAAAATGTTCATCGTCATAATCAAAATTAAACTCATGATGTAGCTAACAAAAGATATGACTCTTACCTTTTGAAACAATCTAAAATTGCTTTAACACATACCCACAAGATTGGCAAATAATTTAAAGTCTGAAAATATTAAGTGTTGATAAGGACAGAGAGCATGAGGCACTACCAATGGGAATACAAATTGGTATACTCACTCTAAAAAACAATTTGGCACTACCTACTACCCTATATCCTATGCTACCACCCTATAATCCAGCAATTCCACTGTTAAGTTTATATGAGACATTTGCGCCAAGAATATGCAGGAAGAAGTTCATGGTAGTAATAACTTTTAGAAATAGCAAGAATCTTGTAACAACGCCAGTGTCTGTAAACAGAAGAAAAGAGAAATCAACTGTAGAATATCTATAAAATGGCATACTACAGAGCCATGAGTATAAATGAACTAAACTACATTTTCAATGAATCCCCAAAACATTACAGAGCAAAGAAAGGAAGTCATAGTAAAACTAGTCCACTTATGTAAATTTCAAAATCAAGTAAAACTAAACAACATATTGTTTAGGGACACTTACCATAAGATTGTTTTAAAAAAGCTAGAGAATTGATAATACAAAATTCAGAATATAGATTACTTCTGTGGTGGAGGGAGTGGATGTAACCCAGGAGAATATATGGAGGCTTCAAAGGAACTGATTATTATTTTGTGAGACCGTTCTCTGCATTAACGGTATACTTCACGATAAAAGTTCCTTCCTTCCTTCCTCCCTTCCTCCCTCCCTCCCTCCCTCCCTTCCTTTCTTTTTAAGAGAACAGAAAAACTAAGTCACAGATGGGAACCTTCATTAAAAAAGCAAATCATTTAAGAGCCAAGTTTATGCACTACAGAATACACACACTTTTCTCACATTTCGTATGAGATACTGACTTCTCCACAAATAATTCTAGAATTTGGGAAGAAATTAAATGAAAAAGTTAAAATGCACCCATAAAAGTCTTCATGCTATCCTATATATCTCGACATTTCCCCCAAGTAGGCAAAACGTTCAACTCCAATGTTGAAGTTCCTAGCCAGTTAAGTCTTTCTAGCTTCAGTCAGCAAACAACTTTAACTTTTCTTTATCCATTGACCATAAGGATGGGCAGTTTTGCATTAGCACTAACACCTGTTTCAGAAAAAAAGAAGCAAAATGGACGAGCAATGCACACTCTGATTAGGGTGGTCTGATGAGAAGTATTCCACTGAGTTTCTGAATCGCTTCAGTTCAACCTGGTCTACCCATCCTGCATTATACATGAAAATACTTCGGAATGAAAGCAATTACAAATATAAAATGATGCATTTTCTCCTTTCCTCAAGCAAATGAAAATTACTAATTACCAAAGGAGCTTCGCAAAGCAGATACATGGGATATCCACGTCACGTCTCCACTGGGAGATACAGCACCGACCCCAAATAAAGAAATTACAGTCAAACAAGGAGGTTTTTTTTTAATCTTTTTCACTTGTACTTTTTCATGACTCTAACTTTGCTCCATCTCCTTATGGTGACACCAAGCCAACCACCCTTACTGACCCAGACTTGTTCTGCAAGTCCCCCATTCTCTTCCTTCTCAAACACCGCTGCCACTGCCCACGGTGCCTCCGTTAAGCCTTCTCCTCCGCACAACCCCTTACAAGATGCCAGAAACAACAGCCTTCCTCTTCAGGTCCAAACTCCCAGGCTCCCCGACCCTGAAAACCGCACCTACGCCAGCCTGGCGCTTCCCGGGCCCCATCTCCACGCCCGCCGAGCCGCACCCACAGAAAGCCCCCCGCTCCCTTCGCCGCGCCCCCTCCACCCTTCCCGTAGTCCTGCAGCGCCCGGCGCTCGCCCCCTACTCAGAACCCTCATTTCCCACTGAGCCTCCCCCCCCGCTCTGCACCTGTGGCCCGGTCTTTCCACCCCGCTTCCCAGTCACCGCGGGGCCTCTCGGCCGAGCCCACCGGCCCCGGCCAGGCTAGACCAGCCCAGCCTTGCCCGCTAGGCCCCGACCCAGGCCGGGCGACCTCTGCCGCCTCTTCTCCTCACCGTGCCGTCCCCGGGGCCCTCGTCCCGGGCCCCCTCCGCTTCCTCACCGACCGCAGACTCCAGCCCAGCGTCAGGGTGGCCCAGCGGCTCTAGGGGCGCAGGCTGCAAACGCCGCTCGGGGTCGGGAAGCGCCTGCTCCATAGCTGCGGTTCGGTACGGCGGACACAGTGCGCCTGCGCCGCCTCGCCCAGCCGAGCCCGCCCCTCCACCCGCGGCCGCTGCCAGGCCCCGCCCCCTGGGCCTGCGGCCTCCCCACCTGGCCTGGCCTCGCTCGAGGCTGCTGCTGAGGCAGAGAGGGCTCCTGGGCGAGGGCTGAAATTGGGGATGGGGCTAGGAAAGAAGGGCGGACCTACAAGGGAAGTGGTCAGCTGCTAAGCCAGGAGACCCAGGAATCCGGGAGAACTGGTTGAGAGAGAGAAAGAGAGAAAGGCAAGAGGAAGGTTAAGATCAGAGTAGGTACTGGAACCATTCAGGTTGGTGATCACATAAAGAAAAATTGAAACTCAAAAGAAATAGGAGGTTGGGACTTCCCTGGTGGCGCAGTGGTTAAGAATCCGCCTGCCAGCGCAGGGGACACGGGTTTGAGCCCTGGTCCGAGCAACTAAGTCCGTGAGCCACAACTACTGAGCCTGCGTTCTAGAGCCTGTAGCCACAACTACTTAGACCTTGTGCCACTACTACTGAAGCCCGCCTGCCTAGAGCCGGGGCTGGGCAACAAGAGAAGCCACTGCAATGAGAAGCCCGCACACCGCAAGGAAGAGTAGCCCCTGACCGTGGCAACTAGAGAAAGCCCAGGCAGCAGCAAAGACGCAACGCAGCCAAAAATAAATAAATAAATAAAAAGAAATTGGAGGTCGCAATCTGACGTCTCCCTCTTGGCCTCTATCTTGCCTGCCATTATTGGTTCCATTCCTCGCCCCACCTACCCCCCCCACACACCCGGAAAGATCCGAGCCGCATAAATTATTGTCAGCAGGTTGAGTAACACAATTAGCAAAAGGTAACACTTTTAAGTGTTTGAGAAAAGTTAAGCGCTTGGCTGAAGCCGTACTTGAGTTCTATCTTAAGTGTTTCTTGAAGCCCTGGAGATATCTGATAATTTTCTACAAACACCTCAGTTGAATTTTCGAACGTGCTTCCTAGACAAGCATTCACTATGGTACCCTGATGGGAAGCGCTCACTGGGTGTATCAGACTGTGGTACCTTGAAGTACCCTGTACACAAAGTCTGGTCATCAATTTTTCAAGGAGAGAAACTGATCTTTCTGCCCAAATAACTTGGCTGTTCAAAGCTGTGATACACAATTTTCTCCTCCTCCTGATACTTCCTCTGGCTTGGTAGCGATTTTTCCCATTCATCCCTAAAACCTCAAGTTATCATGTCCAAGTGCTATTATCACTTTGTTCAAAAATCGGTTATGACCTTTCTCATATTTTTTTTTACAGTTATTTACTTATATGTCGGTCTGCCCCAACTAGGCTTCAGACTCCTTTAAGGCAAGGACCCTATTTTATTATTTTTTTCTTACCAAACCTAGGACATTTACTCAATAAATGTTTAAAGGCATTTAATCAGTTTTTCAGGGAATATCCGTGCTTAGGCAAATTCTCAAGAATTTTTTTTTTTCTTAGTTCCCCCACCAGGGATTGAACCCGGGTCCTCGGCAGTGAGAGTACAGAGTCCTAACCACTAGACCACCAGGGAATTCCCAGGAACCATTTTTAAATCAGAAGGCTATTTTATTAATTTACTATAGGAGAAATAGATATCTTCTTTCCAGGGACAGATATGTATCTGTTATCCTGTGCCCTTTTCCCAGTTTTGAGATACCCAGGAAACTAAGTCCTAGAGCCATTGGGATAAGTGCTCTGTGCTGGTGACGTGAGCATCTCACCCTGCAGTGAGTAGTGTTAGAAAACAATATTCAACTGAGTAAACTTTGAAGATCTTGTTGGCTTTATTCAACAATTCATGGAGCAGGCAGCATCCCATGTAGCAGATAGAAAGGCATTCCAATGAGCTGTACAAAATGAAAAACTTTTATAGGAGGGAATGGGGGCAAGGAAGTTATACTAGCAAAAAGTGGATTGGCTGTGGCAAGGACACTTTCCTTTAGGGGATGGCAGGGCTCTAACGAACAGATTACCTCACTAGTGCTGACCAAGTAGTTCCTGGTTGACTGGTTTAAGATTCCATTTCGGGGAGAGCTGAAACTATAATTAAGTTAATTATTAAGTCCTGGTTTGGTGATGTGTGGTTAGCATAAGTGACTCCATTTGGGGCCTGTTGTCTTGTTTTAAACAACTGGAACAAGGAAAAGGACTCGGGGCTTTACAAAGCAATCACCTGAGGGGAGGCCACAGTGCTATCCGTGGTTTCTAAAAAAAAACCAACCAAACAAAATACTAAAAGAGTAGGGACATCTGTTTCCCCTTCATTCACACCTCTTTTTTTGTGTGTGAAAAAAAAAATTCAAGACTGCCTTTGAGGGGCTTCCCTGGTGGCGCAGTGGTTAAGAATCCACCTGCCAATGCAGGGGACACAGGTTCGAGCCCTGGTCCGGGAAGATCCCACATGCCGCAGAGCAACTAAGCCCATGTGCCACAACTGCTGAGCCTGCACCCTAGAGCCTTCGAGCCACAACTACTGAAGGCTGCATGCCTAGAGACCGTGCTCTGCAACAAGAGAAACCACTTTAATGAGAAGCCCATGCACCACAACGAATAGCCCCTGCTCGGCACAACTAGAGAAAGCCCGCGTGCAGCAACAAAGACCCAACACAGCCAAAAATAAATAAATAAATAAGTTTAAAAAAAATATATAGGGCTTCCCTGGTGGCGCAGTGGTTGAGAGTCCGCAGGCTGATGCAGGGAACATGGGTTCGTGCCCCGGTCCGGGAGGATCCCACATGCCGCGGAGCGGCTGGGCCCGTGAGCCATGGCCGCGGAGCCTGCGCGTCCGGAGCCTGTGCTCCGCAAGGGGAGAGGCCACAACGGTGAGAGGCCTGCGTACCGCAAAAAAAAAAAAACACAAAAACAACAACAACAAAAAAAACCCAATATCTAATAAGATATTTTTTAAAAAAGACTGCCTTTGATATCCATTTTAAGTCGTTCACCTAGATATAACTTTGTTCCTGTATCTTCTTAAGAGATGGCCTTGAAGAAACCAAATTTGAAAACGCAAAAGGGTGTTGAAGTGTCTAAAATAAGGATAAAAAGGATTGCATGTTCATTTTCCCTTATCTCATATACATATAATACATGTTCATTGTGGGAAAATTAGAAGATAGTTATGCATAAAAATAAAAGCTATCCATGCTCCCACACCCAGAGATGAACACTTCACATTTAACATATATCCATTCAAATATCATGCACACATATAATAAAAATGGAACCACACTACAATGCTAATTTATAATTTATTTTATTCACTTAGTACAGTAAGAACACCTTTCCATGCAATTAAATATATTTCTACAGAATCTTCTTAAAGGCTACACTTTTGTAAAAAATTGTAAAAAATTTCGTATTGTAAAAAATTACTATAACTTATTTAATCTTATAATCCTCAATAGTTATAATTTGATTCTAAGCTTGACTTTTACAAACAACACTGCAGTGACCATCCTTTTATATAACATCTTTGAGTACCCAACCAGTTATTTCCTTAGGCTAAATACGCATTGGAAGATTTACAGAAAATTTCATTTAAGCTCTGATAGTACCTGAGGAATTATCTCTGCTCTATTACAAAATAATATATTTCTTAAAAATTGATATTTGTGGGACTTCCCTGGTGGTCCAGTGGTTGGGACTCCTCGCTCCCAATGCAGGGGGACCAGGTTCGATCCCTGGTCAGGGAACTAGATCCTGCATGCTGCAACTAAAAAAAAGAGATCCCAAACGTGGCAGCAAGGATCCCACATGCCGCAGCTAAGACCTGGCATAGGCAAATATTTTTTTTAATTATTAAAAAAATTGATATTTGTATCCACTAGATAATACATCTTACCCTTGGGGCTGCCTATAACCTAACTTTTTTTTTTTTTTCCTGGCCGGCTGCTCTGCCCAGCTTGCAGGATCTTAGTCCTCCGACCAAGGACTGAACCTGGGCCCCTGGCAGTGAGAGCATCAAGTCCTAATCACTGGACCACCATGGAATTCCCAAGAAATTCTTTTTAATAAAGAGACAAAACTAGTGTTTATGTTAAGAGCCTGGGGTGGGAGAAGAAATGGTATCTCGAGCTTTTTAATGGGTCCATCTTTTGGACACCCTATCTTGAAGTTTTTATGTGCTTGGCACTTTACATACATTTTCATGAAATGCCCCTGCAAGGCAGGCATTATTTTCCCCATTTCACAGAGGAAGAAGCAGGCTTGGGTAATATTTGACAAGGTCACATAGCCAGCAAATAAGGGGAAGACCTGAGATTCAAACCCAGATTTACAGGATACCCAGTATCCAAGCTCTTGGGCCATGCTGCTCTGGATGGGGGAAAGGAAAAAGAGAGATTCTTCTGGAAAAGGAGGCAATTGGCAGAAATCGAGGGTTCATTCCTCACCTGAAAAGCCAGAGAGAAGCACATTTCCTTGGATTATGAAGGCAAAGTCACTTCACTGGCTAAAGTCTGGGAAAGCCCAAAGCCAACTCCATGGAGATTTCCAATACAGATGCTCTCTGTTCTTCTGATTCAGACAAGAGAAGGATACCCACTCCAGCATCCCCCTGGGGGAGGGCCTCAATGGGAAAAATCTCAGGAGCAGGGGTGACCGGCCAGAGCGGCTCTAAGGCTGAGTCGCCTTCTGGGTGGACACTTTCCCCACCTCATCCAGCCAGAGGAACTTCAGTCTCTTATATCTGAATAGCATGATTTAGGCTTCCATTTTGTCATGAGTTTAACAAATATTTACTGAGCTCCTGTGTTAGCCTAGAAACTCCATGTAACACCCATTCTCTGCTCTCCATCACCCAGGTTCTGTCTCCCCTCCCCAGGATTCTCCTCCTGTGTCTGGCTGGCCCCCCAGGGTCTGGGAAGGTCACGTTCTTGCTCTGAAACTACACCCTTCGCCTTGACCAGCAACCAGCCCCAACCCCACCCCATCTCTCATTTTAGTGTCGGTGTGGGTGACATCTGCTTCATGTATTTTGAAGATGTATATTAGGTACATACA